GAGGTTAATGCAATTTTCTGCCTTATCTTTACGCAAAACAAAAACCCATTCACTAAAAGTCCATAGTATAGTGATAAAAGGTTCTCAGAAGAAAGGAGCTCTAGGAAAATGATAATCATATTTTCAAAGCATTAACAAAAAAAAACCATAAAAACACCCTGTAGATGGACAAAGGTTTGGTTGTAGAAGAAGCTCTCAGTATCATGGGACAGGGGTTCAGCTACCTGACCGTGAGGTCCAGGCAATCCAGTAGATTACGAAGCCTTTGGCCTATAAAGGGGACAAAAATTATCACTAGAGTAAGCGCAAACGTGTGAATATGTTAACTATCTACGTGATAGATACGACAGAAATACGAAGAGTAGACTACCCCGACTAGGACTACGGAGAACGAGGCAACATCCGGGACGGTAAATCAGCAGTCAGTGGGAAAACAAAGGGCTGTGGAATAGCGGATGGGCATAAACAATAATCAGAAAGGCTATCGGCCGGAGTTTCTTAAGAACGGCAAGCCACCCTTTGAAAAACCCTTCCTGGCTGGTTGAGAAACGTGAGTGCTTTGGGGTTCTGGAAACGATTGCAGGGTGAAAGGGAGACTGGGTGGCTAAAACAGATATCTACTTAGCCTGAAGTTTCGGATTCGCATTCGAATTCATCATCATGTTGAATAACAAAGGAATGCGCACTACGCATCCAATTAATGTGCTTTTAGGAGAAAGCACCAGGCTGGTATTTAGCAAATGCGACTGATGAGGACACACTGACAGTTTATTCAATAGAGCGTATGCAAATGCGCAAGCTCGGCGCAGGTTTACTTAAGTGCGCTTTTTAAGTCCCATGGCAGTAGCTATCGTCAAAAAACGGGTATGGTGCTCACATTAGACTACAGTATGTTAAATCATTCTGCATTTTTGAGTCCGGAATTCCTACCTGTGTGCTTTCTACACAGACTCGCAAAATTTCATTTACTTCAATAAGAGCATTTGGTTATGCTCAAAGGGCATCAACTGAAACGGAAGAAATTAAATGATGTGGGGATAAAATGACAAATGCATATCATCGAACATCAAACAACTTGAGAAATTGAAAACTAAGTAATCGAGCTACATACTTCGGACAAATGAGCGAATCCACGCAGTTAGAAAACATGGACGGGAACAAAAACATGAAACAATAGGGTTAACAGTGTTGTGTAGAGTTAACGAACTCAACCCCTTCGCAAGGAAATAAAACTGGATGAGGCAAATACGATCAAATTCACCTTTTCGGTTTCCAGTGATGCAAATGACATTGATGGTACCTCAATCCGCTAAAGTGTTTTAAACGTGGGCAAACTCGTCTAGACCATAAGTATGTCCCATTGTCAATACTCACAACGAACTCAGCGACTCGCATACACAATCGAGAAATGTCGCTACGATAGTCCGTTTAGTAGAACACTTGAAAGTGTTTTTAATAATATAAACTGGCTACCTTCGTTTTTTGCCAAATCCGATACCAGTTTCTTTCTCCTCCCAAAGAGTAACTAAAACAAAAGTAAATTAAACCCCAAAGGACTAGCTTACACAGAACTCCACGCCTCACATGCGCACACACGCATACCCCGGTTACGACCTCCTATCACAGAGAACATCGCAAGATGTTGCATCGAAAAGGCTTCATAAATCAGCAAGCAAAGCAGGGACGACAGAATACAATAAACATTATCAGATGGCTAAAGAGGAAATGTGTTTTCTTCAAAGTCAAGACATAGAGTCCGAAAAGAAAAGAAGGCGTCCAATTCAAACGGATTTCTGATGTGACATTACACGGAGACACTAATGTGTATTAGTTGGTAATATTTTTACTGATTTGGGGAATAGCGGCACCTGAACTTCAAAAGATTTACATTACGACCTCAATTTAGGAGTTGTACTATTCACAGGCAGTGTAAAACTACGAAACCTACCATTCAGCCTATCTGGCTAGCAAGCAGCCTTCGGTTTTTGACGGGTTAGCAAACATTTCGAGGCCGCATATGACATAAATATCAAACTTTCCTCATGAAACATTTGGACAAAACTCTAGTCGCAACCAAAATGAGGCTTGACAGGAGTTCAAGAGCCAAAAAACGCAGTTCAGGGAGTAATTGCAGATATTGGCGGACACCATTTGTACCGATTGACAGAAGGATTTCAACCGGCTACCTAAAATGTTCCAGGAAAGTCTACCGACGCGGAGAAGAATCACCGGAATAAACGAGGCCAATAATTTAACATGAGTAAAATTCCAGCGAGGTCGACTCCGATGAATATTTCCTCAAAATGAATTCTCGGGCTGTTCCCTATACAAAATCTTACACATCTGTAATTACCGCGACGCACAAAATGTCGGGGTTAACGAGGCTTACGGGCCGATGGACTTACTCGGTCCATTTGTGGAGATATGGTTGGACTGAAATGGCCCTTAGGGCGCTGCACACCCCTGAGAGACCCGACCGTCGTGTCGTAAAGGACCACACGGTGACGTCACGTAATTTCAAGTGTCGCGGCCAATCCTTGTCCTAGTCAATTTTATTAGGACAGGCCGTCGATGTACGGATGGTAGGATGGCGCAAGATCGACCCAAATATAATTAAATCACTGTAAGTCGGCAGGTTCGCTTCGTTTCTTGGAGGTCTTCCTAAGTCGCAGACCTGACGGTAGCGTCCGAAGGAGCGTTTATCGAAACAAAAAACCTGGTCGAGACAGTGTACGAATTTTAAAAGTTCCGTATCCCTCCAACAGAAGCGAAATCTAGTTAGCTGATTAGTACAAAGGGCTAGAAAAATGTGCTCATCTGA